GGATGGGAAATTTGGCCAGGACACCAGGATAACACCCCTACTCTTTTCAGGAAAAGCCCTGGGATATTTAATGACCACAGAGAGTCAGGACCTCAGTTTTACTTCTCATCTGAAGGACAGAGCCTTTTTATAGTATAGTGTCCCCATCAAGGAATCAAACAGACCACCTTAGTTTTTCCCAGGAGGTCTCCCATCCAGGTACTGACCAGGCTCACACCTGCTTAGCTCCAGTGGACTGCCAGTTGTGAGGTGCAGGCTGATATAGCTGCTGACAGTAGGTCGAAAGTAGGTCTCTGGACTGTGGGAAGAAACTGGAGCATCTGATGAAAACCCACAAGAACATCAGGAGAACATATACACTCCACGCAGACAACACCCCAGGTCTATCTGCACTGTGCAACCATACAGCCCTTCATAACATCCATTCTGATGATAATGCCACTCCTGAAATGGTCATCTCATATCAAGTGTGAAGGTTCTTTACGTTTATTGAGCTCTCTGAAATCCTGACCACATTTTCTGCTTTTTCCTCACAGGTCTTTAGACCTTATGTCTTCCTGGCCTTCAATGCTGATTGAACAGATTGCGGACCATTCCAGAACAGAAGAATTTCTTTTTGGCCGTGTTGTGGTCAGAAATACTAATGAAACAGAGAATATTATATTTATATCAAAGGTACGGTAGTCAGTATGTGCTTTATAATGAGCACGCAATATGTTCCTGGAATTGCACAGTAGTAATTCCCTGCAACATATAAAAATATAAAGAAATTGTATTTCATTGCAGACATATTTAATTAAACTTGTCTATATTCAATGTAAAACGTTCTGGAAACACGTTCTGCAATAGAAAGTACACACAGCTGAAAAACATGAGGGAAGTTAAAAGATAATGTAATATTTCACAGCGGACAAACTCCACAGAGAAGCAATGACAGAAAATTATCAACCAAGTATTAGATCTCATTAGATCAACCATCTATAAAAATTGGTTAGCACAGGCAAAATAAGACACCTCAATAAGACCTTAAGATATTGAGAGGGCTTGGTATGAAATTTCTCATTCATTCATGTACTTGTTGAATAAGAACATGGTAATTCTTCCTTGGTCAGACCTGCCCTGTAATCTGTAACTGTTTGACAGTGTAGTATATTCAATTAACTCTGGTTCTCCCTGCCCAGCAGTAGAATACAATACACTAAATGCCTGTCTGCCAATTAGACAATTAAGTTTAGTACAGTATGTGTTTCTGTTGATGAGAGTCACATGCTGATTGTTGAAAACTGTCTGTCACGGACACGGACTGAGATCCGTGTCAGGTCTTGTAGTAGACCCTATGCAATGCGGTAAGAGCTGGAGAAAACAGGAGGCGTGGTAAAAGGAAACACACAGGGGTTTAATAGTGCACAAAATAATAGTGACAGTTCGTGAGACAGTGAACAGGGAAGACAAAGAATGGCATCCAAATCCAAACGGGGCAAAGGCAGGTCAGGGCACAGTCCGGGAGACCAGCGGCGAGTAATCCATCCTGGGATGCGACAAGGTTAAAATACCGGAAGGGGGGAACACAAGGACAGACAAGACATGGAGGTCCAAGGGTGACGGGGTGAGATCCTCCAGACCCCGGGCTCAGGAAGCGGGAGGTGTCGGGGATGAGGCCTGTGCCCTCAGGAGACGGACGTAGGGTTTCCTGGTGCCAGGCGGGCCTTGCGACATCCTTACCGTAATGATGAGCCCCGAGGACCGGAGGAGCTAGTTTTTAAATTAAACACATAACAAGGTACGCCTGGGGAGCTTAATCACAGCAACAATAACAGGAGTAGTGGAACGCCCTCTAGGGAGGGATGTCAGGCGTGACACTGTCCCCTGTTCTGAGATGATCAAAGGTAAAGAAAAGCCACTGTTAACCAACAACTGAAGTGGTATTCAATTATATCTATGCCATACCTAATGTTTACAGTTTCAGTGATTGCAAGATGGTCTCATTGCTGGACTCCTATTATACTCCAACCGCTACAGAACTAAGCAGTCGAAATTCGAACTCACTGGCACCTACACTGTGGCCATGGGAGACCCATGTGTTCTGCAATTTTACCCTCTGTGTGGCCTGCAATGAAGTGAACAGCTGCACATTGGTCCTGTGATAGAATGTGCATATTCAGCCACTGTGTAGCAGCGATATACTGTATGTAAAAGAAATTTGAAATACATCCTGTCCAGCGGGGGTGGTATCTTGCCTTGTGCCACTTGATTGCCAGGATAGGCTCCAGCTCCCCCGCCACCCTGAATTGGAAGAAGTGCTTAGAAAACTGATGAATGAAGAAGAAATACCCTGTGTGTATTTCTCATCCATTCGCTTATCCTGGTTAAAAGACTGTGGTACACATGGGCTCCTAAAGTGAAATCTGGGAAATCTTTAAGGATGTGAGAGCACTGCTTGGTGGGAATCTGCTTCTCACTATGACCATTGAGAAAGTCACTTTTGTGCAACCCTGCTGGATCCTCTATGTATGGATACACTGGCTTGGATTGTTAGTTTATACCTTTCACTGTGTTCCAGGCATCAGGGCAAGTTTTATGGACAATGTTTTATAATAAT